CGGGAGTCACCGAATTCGAAGACACAATGGAGGCGTCTTCGAGGTACTGTCCAGGCCGTAGCACAGGAGCCGCAATTGTGCGCGCGTAAAACCCTCGAGGCATTTTGGATACAGGTCACCAATCTCAAAATGAATCGTAGAGAAGAATGTCTCGCACTCATCTGGAAGCTACAGCCTTATATAAGATATCCTTCCCGCACAGGCTTCAATAAGGACCTACCCCAGCTGACACTTGTACCACCACTCGCTGGGTGGTTTCGAAGAACCCACAGAGCTAGTGTGAGTGGTTCTCCTTTCGATCACCTGCGTGCCCTAGGGGTCCCGAGCTTTAATGGGTTGGTGGGGGTGGGTTGGTTTGATCGGAGAGTCACGGATTGTTATAATCGTTTCAGGCTCTTAAGTAGGCGATTCCGCCGAAACGTCAGCCTAATAAAACATACTTACAAAACTCGTGACGAGTTCAAGAAAACAATGAACTCAGTGATACAATTATGCCGAGGTTCATAGAAAGCCATACATGGAATCTCTTTTAATGTACTGTGTTCTTGCAGTGAACTTGCCAATAGCTCACCTATTCGCTGAACTGTGTCCAACTTTTTCATTTGTTGCTTAGAATAAAAAAGTTGCACTTTTGTGGATGTTGTGAATACTCTTTATTTCTTTCTAGTAAATCGTCTTATCTATCGTAGATTTTCATAGATGGTTCTACTGCAAAGATGGGAAAAGGCTCGAGCAGTGGAATATGAAGAGCTGCAGTTACGTTGCTTATCGGCATGAAGCCCAATTAATGTGTCAAGAAATTTTTTACAATGAAACTGCCACCACGACGAACCTTACCATAATAGAAATGAAATTGAGCCTCGCCTAGTGGTAGAACTAGATTGTTCTGTTGTTCTTCTGTAATTCCAACCACGTCGCATGTCGCATGTGATCATGTCCAAATCGTTTTCTTGTTCGATTTGGCATGAATACCTGTAAAAGGATTGAGCTTCCATCCGATAACATCCGGGCGTTCATAGCTGTAACTAGTATGCACTATGATACTCCTCAAGATATGAAGACGACATCCTGATGTCTGCTGATATTATGCCTACTGGTTTTGCAATCGTCACGGCAAAATGTAGCATAACATATATCAAAATTTACAGCGCCACAAATGGAAGACAAAACTTCACTATTACTCTTTCGGTAAAGCAATATTTCGAATGGAAAAAAATCGTAGTGGAAATGCTTCCACAGATTTTAGGAGCTAGACATTTGTTAGCGGTGCGTCATCGCGAGCTCGTCTTTTCGGACGTGTGGCCCTCCTCTATTCCCAACGACATACCAGTAAGTACACTCGATCTGTTGTAATGAAACCCTGAATGAATGAGGGAACTGTGTTGAAAAAGTGTTATTACGACAGTTCTGTGGATTTATCCGTATGTTTACACAAAAAATAGGTGACGCTTAAATGCGAATCGGAGCTGCTTCATGTTACGAAGCAAAGCAGGAAAGAAAAAAAATGAACCTCTTTTCGCCTGTTTCTTTTATGTGATGGGCTTCGTATGGTGTCTGAGATGCTAGCTCATCTTTTGTGAAAACGTATAGAAGAGAGAGTATTTAACTGAAGAAAGTTTGATTGGCCGAGATCCTAAGACAGCAGGTGCATGAGCAACCTTCCAATTGCAACGATGGTTGAAACAGAAGGCGATGTAAGCTACCGGGGTACAGGAGCAGTCAAATCCCGCAAACCACAGAAAAGTTTTCCATTATGGCTTCAGAAATCTTCGAGTTGTCCTACAGTGTGTTGATATATAGTAGCGAATAAAGAGCCAAAATCATCTTATATCGCCTTGGATTGCATGCCTGCACTTAGGTGGTTTTTGAGAGTTCTCTGTCGCTATGGAAGTCATGGTTAGGAGCAACGATCATGTTTTGGAAATGGTAAGTTTTGCAAACTGCTAATATTTGGCATATCTCATTTCTACTCGAACGATCTCCGCTCAGGCATCCTCAGGTAAGAGTGTTAACGTCGGAAATTTGTCCTTCGTCGTTCGAGTAGAAAAGAGATATGCCAAATATACCATTGACCAACATTGAAGGAATGGGAGGCTTGGTGGACTTGAGCGATGAAGCGATAAAATATGGGATTTGATCCTTGAATCATGAGGGTTGTTTCCTCACTTTTGTCCACTTTCATAAACGAGAGTCAGTGACCACCTCATCTACCTTGGTTACTTAGCTGTACCTTATCTTGGTTTCCTAATCGTTAGCTTCACCTTGATCAAGACCTTCCCTTCTTTATGTAAATAAAGGCTTGAACGTAATGTCATTTTCAAAATCAGTTTCAACTACTGGGCGTCGAAGATCATAAGACCAGGACGTCTGTGGAACACATTACAGAAGGGTGATTTGTTCGTTGCATGTCATATGCGCACTAAATGTCGTTTCTTAGGTCCACGTAAAGGGTGTCCTCCACCGAATTTGTCGAACTGATGTTTTTCAGAACAGGAGCGCTATAAAGCCCACGTACGACCGTTTTCCCCAATCACTGCACTCCCTTGCTTGCCTGTGTCGAACGGTTTCGTATGAACGGGGAGAACGTTGTTTTTATGCTATAAAGTTCTCTATCTCAATCCTTATATGTATTTACTGTTGTCTCAGCTTTGGAGAGGCTCATATTCTCTGCTCTTTTGATATAGTTCCCTTTGTTGGCATATTATTATATTGGAGTATTCAAGTAGAGCTAGGAATTGGAGTACTGAGCTGGAAAAGTCGTATTGAAAAATTCATTATTCACACTTTAGTAAAAATTTTTTCACCAGGTCAATGAGGTTTTCCCAGTCTTTATATAGAATCAACCGCCAATCTCAGAATTATTAGGAAATGGCAAAGTGATGGAAGTCTGGAAATACTCTTGAGAACCTCTAGTGAGAGCCTCTGCAGGGTTCTTAACAATGTTTGCTATGGCCTTGCCAAGGAGTGCGATGACTTGTGAGCTTGTTCATAAAGTCTTTTTAACTGCAGAGCTATGGAAATTCGATATCTTGACTGATTGTTATTGTTATTATGACTTCTTTGTATTATTACTCTGAAAGCCCACTTTCGCTGTTGTTCGAGACGCGTCGCTCGTGCGCTAGGTAAACAAATAAATAAATCAGTCAAAAAATAAATAAAATCATAAAGTGCTTTCAACTAAGTCTAGTAGACATTGGTTTTTCTAAAGAATACTACCATGTAATACCATAATGCTGCGTTGTCTACCTTCATCTGTATTTGCTTCTGCTATTTGTATGGTTATGTATCCATCTACATTGTGAAGTTTCTGTAGTAGCGTACTTACGAGTGCAATGAATAAGTGAATAAATAAATAGAGACTGACAAGTATCGATGTAAATATAAACATTGCTATATAAACAAACAGTCAGCCGCATAGATGTTCTACGGCATTTACAGTAATCCGTGCACCCGGTCACTTATGAACATTTCCGCGCACACAGAAGACAGACAGGGCGTTTTCAAAAAACAAGCGAAGTTTTCTAAACTTGGCAAACCCCTCTAAGTAGTTATTTCACTTATTGCAGCTTTATCATGCACAGGGCCGACGTGCCTAGCCACTTCGAAACCCTTTCGGGCTTTGTGAGACGTGATAATTAGCAAATGGGAAAAATTCTAGTTTTACCGTCTACGTATTCCGATTGGAGGTGGTGTAATGGCAAGTCGTGCACTATATCGCACGCACGGTCGCGGGTTCAAATCCCTGATTTATATCCGCCCACGCCAAGCAACCGTGCCATACCTCCGGGGTCGGTTAATTGGTACCAGACTTGTCTGGGAGGATAAAAACACTGACTTGTACATCGGCTCGCCACCGCAAATCATTGTATAGGCCACATACGCATTCAATCGGCGACTACGATTCTGAATGGAAGTTGAATGCGGGGGCGCATCCCTCAGACGGGATAGATCACTGCCAAAAGACTTTATCCTTTATCTTTCAGACATATTCCGATTACAGAACAAATATAATTTTTGGGGCAAACGAACCTTTTTCTAAATCTTCAGAGAGGGAAACTTCGAATTTCGCAAGACATGTCTGCAGTATAACAAGGTGAGATGGGCTGCGAAATTGTGCCGTTAAAATTGAGACAATAGCAATCTACAGCCGTCAATTAATTTTCCTTATATTTCCGTTCTTATCTCTTTTTGTGATGATTGGCCAGAAAAATTGAACGAATTCAAACTGATCTATTCATTTTTTCAGCACCTGCACAGCTGCCAGCTCCTACTATGCTTGAACAGCAAATGGTCTACTTACTTCTTTTGGTAATCATCTATATGATGATTCTAACCCACATTACCGAAGCGGCGTGTTGTAAGCATACAAACAGCATATATATAGCATATATACAGCATATATTCTTTGAGCTTTTTTTCCTACCTCTTCGCAATCCTCAAAATCATAAATGATTTTCAGGCATGGGTATGGGTATGGGCATGCCGTTCGGTTTCGGAAGGCCTTTCGGCTTCGGTTGGGGCAAATAGACTAACTGGCTCGTGATACTTTTATTTGAAAACGATTCCTTGGCATGCGAATTTGACGCAACTGGTGAATCTGATCGGCAATATTAGAAACATTATGTACTGCTTGTAATTGTACTGGTCTAGTAATAAAATGCAATCTACATGTGTATTTTGTGGCTTGGCATTATTATTAGGGCTCCTATCTGTATGCTATTTCATAACATGTTGTTTACTATCTAACCAACAACAACAGCAGAAGTTCCGATTTACAAATCTATTCCGCTATACGATAATTTACCCTTTTTTACAAATTTATGTCGCTGTTAGACATCTGAATCTGAGAAACACACGGCTATTAAAAGCTTTCATTCTTAATGAATATGGTATAGACAGAGATCGACTATTCCTACAGAGACAATATTAACTGTGTACATTTCATATAAAACGATGATTATGAAATTAAGCTGTAAAGACGAGCAGATAAGGCGAAAAAATTATCCCCAGTATGGCCTGGGTCCCCATGGACCGTACATTGGTGGTGGTGGTCGCCAAAATGGTCCTGGTCCATAGCCCCAAGGACGGTAGCCGTAGCCTCCGAAGGGACGATAGCCTCCCCATGGTCCATAACCTAAAATCACAATTTTTTTAGAGGAGAAAACGGTATTATTCCATGGAAAATCACAAAAAAAACTCCAGAAAGCAAAACTATCTTTTAGAAAAATAATGAAATGTTCTTCTTTATTCATTCTTCTGAGAGCAACACTTTTTTAGCTTCTAGCGTGAAGAGACTGCTCCAAAATTTGAGTACATTTTTGTAAATTTGCATTAAAAAAATTGAGGATCTTAATTTCTTTTGGTTCCTCACTATCTGCTCCTTCCCACACATGAGCTCTAAAACTACTTAGAGTCATCCCTCCGCGTCAGACTTTTTCTAAAAAGCTGAGGCTTTGAATCCTCATTTTTTGAAGAAAAAATATCAAAAAGCTATGCCTAATGGGCTCTTCTGTGGTGAAATTGTCCGTTGCGGGTGCCGGTACAGCCTCTGATGCTACTGGAGAAGAGTGACAATACTGTGCTCTCTATAGGACTTACCCCATTGTGCGTCCACGACGCAAGCGAAGGCAAGCACAGCGAACAGTACTAGTAACAAATTCGACATCATCTGAAAAGGGTCTGTTGAAAACAATACTCGACGTTAATGCAGAAAAATCGTGAATCACATGAAGCGTGTCGCTCCGAGACGTTATTGAACATCATTGTGTTATGGTTGCCTTATATGGCGATACGATAGAGGGGGTGGATCTTGTCGGCTGATATCATCAGCGAACAGCGTGGAAAGTTTATTTCCTAGTCGCTTAACTACAAGGACACGTTCGGGCTTTGTTCGGTAATGGTTAATGACAAAGTAAACATCGTATGAGTGTCATCGAGCCCAAGGCCGAAAAACTATAAGCAGTTAAACGATTTTACGCTGAATGTAGGTGTTATGGCAGTTCGAGCCGAAATCGATGTGGTCTTCCACCATCATCCCCAACTTCGTTCATAATCCAATAGTACTTCTGGGTAATTCGAAAGAGTTTTACTCAGGCATCATGGAATCACAAGTATGAAGTATTTTCATTTTATAATGAATTCTCTCATCGACTAATGGTTCCACCAAATCTTGAAATCTGCCGATACCTCTGTTCCCAGACTATTGCTTTATATCAAAGCAACTTCCACGTTATTCGAATGGCGGAATGAGGAGTTTTTGGGACCTAGCAGCGTCCCGAGAACTCTTCATTCCGCTATTCGAATGACTCTGCATTCTCCGGTGTCTAAAGCAATCAGATGGGGGGCCTTTGAAGGCCCTCCCAAAGGTGGGTTCCATGTTTGTGGTCCCCTGAGAAGGCATAAAAGCTCAGTCTGTCGACTTCGTTGTATGCGGCAGAGTTTCTAGTGAAGAGATGACCAAATAAAGTAGTCGGTGAAATGGTGGTGAGCCGAGATGTCCCGAATGCGAAAACAGTCAAATACAAGATTCTTGATGCTTTGTAAAGATTCATTTTTACCATTGAAGTACTTCTCTTGAATTTACTCCTGCATGACATTTCCATCAGACTCAGAGAAATTTCGGAAAGCGGCCCATTCCTCATGCTGTAGATTCCGGGGCGGAACTTTTTGAAGCCTCTACACTGGTTATTGTCCCCTTCGTACACAATTTGTTCGAGGTTTTGTGCGCTTCCGCCTCTCTAGCTCAATTTTCAATTCTATGAAGCATGAAATGCCGGAACTGCTTTTACATCACTTCCATTGTGGTACTATGAAGTGAAAATGTCGTGCGTCATGTCATTATTTTTACTTGCTTTATATGTTCCTCAAGAAGTTGTTGCTGCTGCAGAGTAAGTAGCTTAGTATGGGTGAGAAAAGCTCTCAATGATTCCACTCCAACACGATTTTCGTTGGTGCTGCCCTTTATGGCACTCATAATCGTAGCACTCAGCGCCAGTGGTGAAGAATGTTGACAGTTCAGTGAGAAATACACTTCGAGACAGAAACTACATGAGCTACTGTAGCTTCAGAATTCTCTTCTTCAGAATTTGTCCCCACAGAGAAGCTGAGCCCGCTATTTTGGGGATGCCACTTCTGCTCGGTGTCTCTCACCTGTGTCCTATGATGTGCATTCCGGTTTTATGTTCTGTTTCCATAGGTGTTGATATATCCACAATCCGTTAAGAAAACTGTCCATTTTCATCACCGGAGAGCTGCAGTCCTCAAATATATTGCGCCTTCGATCAGCTTCACCTACTGGAATACTTCGATGATGATGTTAGGCTAAACATTTCTAGCCGTCCGTTTCGCCGACCGTTTATAGCCGTTCCGCCTGCCTTCAAACGTACGGAATTTCAGACAGCTGGTGAAGCCAATGTCTTGGGTTTGTTTCTTAGTCGCGTTAGTGATTTTTCAGGGATTTCTAACCTTGAAATCAAGGCAGAGCCATCAAATTTTCGGCAACGAGCCATAAATCCGAGTTTCTGAGAGTGTTGTTCCCTTCAAAACATTAGCGATCCCCATTAGTGGAGACTCTACAAATGAGAGCAATTCGCTACTCAGACTGTCTGAATGTAGGTCTGGCAAAAATACTTTTTTTTAACATTATAACCTAACAATGGTTGATCAGCCTTGAGAACGAAGAACTGGAGTGGGAATCCTGTCTAATGGAACACCCACAACTCGCCTGCTGATGTCATTGCTAGAAAGTGAAAGAAAAGATATCCGGCGGCTGCTGGATCTCTCAAATCTTTGGACTTTGAACACCCTTAGTCCGACTTGAAGGTAGGACTAGTTGAGGCGAGCCGAAGGCATCGTGACATGCATGCGAGGGCAGCAGCGTGAGTCCAACCAAGGACCGAAATAAAGCATAAAACTGGTTCTAAACGGTTGAAACCTGTGCAATACTGGAGCTATGCCTCGTTTCTCCTTTTCAATAAGAACATTTTGTGGATATTTTGAGCTACTAAGCGCTTTTGTGCCGTTGTTTCATTACTTCCTCGTGAATCACCTGAGCTCAGAATCGTTCGATCACTTCGCCAAGCATTTTTCTTTGTTGTAAAACTTTTGATATGGCGGATGTTGAATAATGACGCTATCGTAAACTGTCTTTACACAACAGATTATCAGTTCCGCGATAGGCTGTCTATGCGGTCATTCAGCCGTCTCCGTTCCATTATCCGTCTGTTTCGGCGCTCTACTTACTACGGACGGCGTTCAGCGAATAGGCGATACTTGACAAACAGAAGCATGTTTGATCTTCGGCGATCATTAGAATCTGGAACATCGTTTTAATTGTTAGCCTCATATCTTGTTTACCAACTAGCTGTGCACTGTGAAGTATGGACTCTTAAACGCGCCTACAATTGCTTGAAAAGTTTCTACTTTCACGGTGTGGTGAGAGTAGAAGGCTTGATGGAACTGATTGGACTACCCAACTCCAAAAAACTCGTGAGGATCGTATAAACCATAGATCACTCTGAAAAAATGAAGTCAACTAGTATACCACCATCCCTTCTTGGGGAGTCTAATGACTGGTGAACGAGCCCTTCCTCATAGCGTTCTAGATGTCAGAAATACGAATAAGAGCTTGTTTTTTAGAATTCATACATTAGTTCTAGGCCCCAAAACGACTTTTGTTTCACAGAATCACCACTTTCGCTTCCCTTTTGTAAATGCCTAAGCAGTTTTACAATGCTCTCTCACGGCAGTTTTGTTCTTCGAAAACTCTAAACCTTGACTTTCCGCTCGGCACAACCGAACCGGGGCAAATGTTTCCTGCAATCTAGGGAATATTTAGGAAACGAGAACACCACAAAAGAAGAATCACTCTTTCTACCTTCTAGGCGGAAGTGACGGTAAGCCTGGAACTAAATATTATATTTGAGTCCGGCGCAAAAATTGCTGGGAGCTTTTACTCAAACACTGACAGGCAAAAACACTGGAAAAATAAATACAAAAAAGCTATACAAAACCGGAAAACGCACTGCCGAGCCGAGATGTAAGCATTATCGGTGAAAGAAACTTCTAGTGAACATGATGGCGAAGGTATTACACGGATTGTGCAAAATTAAATCGGCATTGGCAGGTCCACATTTGTCCTAGTGGCAACATGTGGAAAGAAACTAATGTTTAACTTGAAATTGATGAAACTACAAAGCATCAGTGGGCGAATAAGCCGGAACAGACACTACATGCACGGTCCGAGGGCCGAGTTCCACTCTGTATTCAATGAGAATGATCATTTTTCATACCACTGAGTCAGTGAATTGGTGGTCGCCTGAATTGCCTGAGAGCATGTGAATACTAAGCAATGGCTCACTTTTTACGTGGCGGTCTGCACCTCCGATATCGCTGAATGAGTCATTAGTCCTTCACTTCAGCCACACAGCACAAGGGAACGTGAACACCAGCAACACCTTCACATTTTATCCAGAGATGTAGAACTAGCCAATAATCATACCGTTTATTTGTGCAGACTCCGAAAAGGAACCAAAGATCGATCAGATCATAAATCAGGATCTAAGCGGAAAGATCAGGTCTGACATTGGTTGCTCAACGACTCCGTTGGATAAGCTAATCTCTGTCAGAGGATAAACTCCCTTCCGCAATCACAGGCGGGAGTCGTTAATCGTAACCATCCTACTAGTTGTACAACGGGAACGTGCTCAAGATCGAGATCTCTCTTTCCACTCGTTCAACATTTATCAAGGTCCTTCGCGAGAAAACTAAGAGGTAAGATAATGTATGGAATGGCCGTTAATGAGCTCTTTGGTAGGCTTTATAGAAACTTCTAGACCCTCCACAGCACACATGAAGTATAGTTTTGTTCCTTGTTCCTGATTAAAGTTAGGATGTAGTGGAGTTCTTCGTGTGCTGTATGAAGGCGTATGTAAGGATTCCATAGAACATGCAATTGGGGTTTCAGACATCAAGATCTTATATGAAGCTATTCCCTGAACGTGATGTTGCGCTATCCTGCAACATTCGTTCGAATGTAACTTTTGCGTTTGAACAATCACTTCTGAAATTTCTACATCGTATCCGATATTTTACCAACAAATTGCTAAATGAGAAGAAGCAAATAATCCTATCACAGGTTTTTTCTTGGACCATCGCATTTTCGAGATTATGTTCCGAGTTTTTCATGATATTTGCTAGACCTCTTCACTTGAATGACCCAACAAACTAACTTGGTACGCCATGTACGGCTATCTCTAAACCTCGGCATAGTGCAAACGTTGGTTTAGTTCAAGCAAAGAAAACTAACTTGGTACGGTTCTGCAGAACATGTCCGTGATGGTTCATTGAGGGAATTAATTTGGCAGTCAGTTGAGGAGTTTGATACACCATACGGTCGCGTAGCCGAAACTACATCGCCGAATGTCATGAGCCTAGTCAGACCCCTTAATATTGGGCAAAATCGTAGCACCGAGACACCATAGATCTGGCGGGGCGATCAAAAAATGTATTCTGATGCATGGTGGCCCAGGAAATTTTCAGTCATGAACCTTGATGTGGAAATGTTTTGACCCGATGCTAACATCTTTATGGACTGAGTAAAGGGTGGTTTGGTGAGAATCTGAAGAATCCACGGAACACTTCTTGCTGAAGGTTTTGGGTGTTGTGAGACAGAAATGTATTCACATTGTGGTCAACAAAGAAGGAGATCTAACAATCCACTTGAAATTCGAAAGAGACTTTACTGAAGTTTTATGAGTATAAATACAGTATGTACATAGTCTCAAACGTAAACAATTTATTTTCCATACATCATCGGATAGCCCATTCCCATCATGCCCATTCCCATTCCTGGATACATGCCGTACATGCCAAATGGTCGGCGCCATGGTCGGTACATACCGTATGGCATTCCCATACCGTATCCCATACCGTAGCCCATACCTGGAAGTGCAGTCACTTTTCAGTCACCTAACCAAAGTTGCTAAAACTCCAAAAAAGTGAGGAGAGAACGTTTGTTTTTCCACTTACCACCGTATCCCCACTGAGCATCAGATGTGTGAAAGAGGGCAAGAAATACTAGAATCAAGGCAAGGAAGAGTTTGTATGACATCATTCACTGAAAAAGCTATTCAACTTCGGAATTCTGACTACTGATAACTGTGCATGCCGCAATTCGAAGAAGATAGAGGTGCAGAGGCAAAGGAGAATGTAGGCAATAGGTTTTGAAGGAAGGCTCCAATCTAGGATGTTCAGTTTTCGTTGACGTCAGGCCAGAGCGAAGAGGATAAAACTAAGGATATGGCTAGTAAAAGTTACCGGACCTGCAAACAACAACAGTACAATTCTCCGAAAAAGGGAGCTCTTGGTCAGTCTCGCAAAGCAATAATTTCTAAATTGGCCTTTAATAACTGCGCAATGGAAACTTAACCTTTCCGTCTGAGAAGCTAAGATATCACTCTCATATTTACTAAGGACTGGCCAGTCTGATCCTACAGGAGCTAGTAGGGCACTTCTTTGTAAAGCATCCACAAGATAATGGACTCACTTTCGAGCCAGGGACATTAGGACCACCTACCTATTCAGTGTCTAAATTTCAAATGACGCTTATAAATCACTATGTGCAAGGCGGATACTATCTCTGTAGTTACATTTCTTTGGGTTTCAGATCCGATGACTGTCACTTCAAAATGGCCACTTTATTATAGCTTTACTTGAGGGAATCGAAGAGCTACATATCTACCCTAACTAGCCTTGCTGGAAAGCAGAACGACGCAGTATCCTACCAAAACTTTTCTAAACTGCTGGGATCAACCGCCATAAAAAGATAATAGCAAAGCGGTACGTAATGGATGCCTGCACAGCAAATGCTATACAATGGGGCAAAATGGGGCGTTTTATAGGCGTTAGTTGTTTGCAGGGAAAAGTTCAATTCAGCGAATTACGTCAAGGTCACCTTGAAATTGACTTAATAGACAACATCATCTGAGATAGACCCTTAGCGATTGGTGCGGCATTGTTGACAAGAAATCCTTATCGCACGTCATATCGTATTGGTCCGCCAAGAGGCCGAACCACCATTAGGGATCAAGGACAATTTGTTGACATGAGTCATAGTCATAACAATGCCGCCTCCTACTCCGAAAAGAAAAAAATGAATGCCTCTATCGCGGCTGTTATTCAGAATACCGTTTAATTCATTCGTGTTAGAGCATAATAGGAGGAATTTTAGGGTCAGGAAAGTATCGCTCCAGTTGAAGAGCTGTGAGGACCGTGTAAAGACAGTGACAAACATTTTGGCCTACATGTGGAAGGAGTAGGGAAGATTCAGTGGTGACAAGCTGTGCACTGATGCTGCGATATTTGATTTTCGGGACGCTTGTCAATTCATTTCATATCCGACAGATATGGCCGGTTTCTAACGGATGTGTAGGAGCTACCATGCTTCCGTCGCAAAATTAACAGCCGATTTAACATTTCAGAAACATTTCTGGGACTAGATGAGTAGCTAGAATAGAAGGGACATTCTTCGTGAGCGGCCATGGTAGTGTAGTGGTAAGTGGTACAATATCACACATGCAAAACCGCGGTTGGTTAATTGGTGCCGGACTCGTGTGGAAGGATGAAGGCATTGGCTTGTATACATCGGGTCACCGAGTATCCTGAAGATGTGATTAATTGGAATTCATCCAGTCTAGTGGCTTATCATAGTTATTTCTAAACCTGTACAACATTTACTGGCTGTAAACCTAAAATGATCTATGTTCATTATAAGAACCTCGTGCAGATCGAAATAGGGTCCTGTGCAATTATCTCACTCAGCTAAAGCCAATATTGACCTTCTAAACAGGATGTCAACAAAGTAGGTGTGTGTCAACAGCTTCCTGGGAAAGTAACTCAGTCAACGCAGGAGGTTAAGGTAACATTCCGCAGTTCGTGTGATCAATTATAGTTCAGGTAGTGCGAGGTTTTTGATGACTCCCTCAGCCGATTCAATGGCGGCGTTGGTCAAAGAAGACTGGAACTGATCTAACGGTGAACCTTAGCTGTATAAACGTTGGTTTTCTTTGCTTGATTTCGGACGAGGTTGATAAGGTTTAGAGATAGCTGTACATGGCGATTACTTAGCTGTATAATAGTTGATGTGACTTCTGGCTCTGCCCATACGATATCATGATGAGAACTCGGTTGAGAAATGACTCCATAGTGTCTGTATGAGTTTTATTTCAGTCGTCCTCTTCCAAAAAGCTAATTATTTCTTTTCTTTATCGGTCACGGCAACTTCACTAAAGCAGAGAACTGCTACTCAGGCTTCAAACCAGCTTCGACCATTTTGAGACCCTTTTAGGCGAGCCTCATCGAATAAACTGGTTTACAGTGGTCGACAGAGGTTCACATCACATCACCAAGCGACTCTTGAACAATGTGAAAAGCATTTTGAATGTGAAAGGAGAGCTTGCTATCTCTCCTAATTAATGGAAAAGGAATTGGTTGGCACAATGGTCGTGCCTCTTGTAAATCAGTAGAAATAAAGGTGTTCATTAGATGATGAGAGCGATGACCCGGTTCCATCCACTTAAGCATGAATGAGTTTGAGGTCGTTCAGTATGGACGACGAAAACATTATTATTTTCGAAAATCGCTTTGTTTACGGCCTTGAAACGCGTAGGAGCTAATGGAATTATGTCATCTTGACTCTTGAACATGAATTACATGATCTGCTCTGTCTCGCAAAGAATCCTTGCAAAGATTTCGAAGACTGTTTTTCACTCGATTTTTTGTCATTTTTTCGTCCTAAAGTTAAGGGCGCTGCATGTTTAAGGCACAGGATGGAGCCGCTGAAGGGTCCGACATTAATCGGCGCTTTTAAAGACGTCTCAAATGTGGTCTTCACTTTGAAGCATCTCATAGATAAACTTTTAACGAAAGCCTGATCGCCCCGTGGAAAAAGACTTTCCTTCTTTACCGCTCTGTTACACTGCACCTAAAAGAACGACAATGATTACCGCCCTTCATGTTGAACGCACGCTTCATGATAAAAATGGTTTTTGAGATTTTCTCTAGGACGAATCTTTAACTTCGCAGAACATATACCATACGTGTTGAAATCCATGAATTAGCAGAATGAGAGCAGCAGAACATAATAGGTTGATGCACAATTATTGCGAATTTTTTCGCTGCTTCTTTTCTTTCGATACAATTCGAACATTGAATTGGGACTAAATAGAACTGATCTTCTTGCTTTCCTCAACAGAAATATGTCTAGAAAACCATCTTCATGTACGCGACATACGACTATTACTTTGAAAAAGGTTGGAAGGCGGCATAGTCATAAAGTGATCTCAACGAACTTTACGGCGATGACAGTCAGCCAAAGCCGAATAAAGGATGTAATTCGCTTCTACGGACGAGCTATTCACCAACAGAAACTCCTATGGATCATCATGTCAGTGGTCCATTAAAAAATTGGCTAACGAACAGAACTTTCGACGAAATGCGTGACTGATGGCCAACGTCTAGGTGTGATCTCCTTCAAGAATCGAAACTCTTTCGCCTGTGAAATCCGACTGCCTAGCAAATGAGGAGCAATGCTTCGCTTAGATTGTGGATAAGTTTCGGAGTAATTATTCAGGCATGTCTTCGCTAAATATTTCTATCATTTCTTTAAGTCATATTTGCTGAAAAATTGCAATAATTATTCATCAACCTAACATTTATGGTGTGCAGCCTCAATCTCCGATTCCGCTGACCTCTTTGATATGGGTATGGGTACATACGTGCGTCCGAGGATGCGCGCGGCAAATTGCGCGGCGAAGTGCGTGGTGATTCGAACAACTCTGGCGTCTATTAATGGGGTACAGACTTGAAGTAGAGTTGACTAGTAGGATCAGCTGACCATATTAATATACTCTACTTCAAATTTGGGCTCAAATGGTAAGCGCCAAAATCGTTCGAACCGCCACGCACTTCGCCGCGCAAATTGCCGCGCGCATCCTCGAACGCACGTAAGTTCCGTCCCCCCTTTGATATACATACATACTGTAGACCGCTGTAAGCAATGGCAGACATTCGAGTACTGTTTGGTGAATCGGAATGTTCTATGCTATTTTTGCTATGTTCCATGCTATTTTTCTCGTCCCACTCCTAATTTCAATACTTTCTTGACGCCTTCTGAATCTTTTTTATTCCACTGCCAATTTTTTCGCGTTTTTTGCCATCATTACGCCACTCTAGACCACCTTTCCCATTAATCGCTTTAACTAGATATTCCAAAAATATTTATTTTTATGGTGTCTCAAACTGTAGGTGAGCAGGTGAAAAATTGATATTTAACGAAAAAAGTTGTAAAGCGGCTAAGCACTTGAGGAGGGCTTTTCACATGTTCATTAGCAAATATCCAACTGAAAAACAACATAAATGACTGACAATAGCACTTTCTCATATTCCCCGAAGACGCTGTCGGTGTTATTTTTTTGAGTTTGTTCATACTTTAGAACTGATAATTATCCCTTGGCTACTGTAGATACCCACTTTTTTTAGATCACATATTAAACTTTGAGGAAAATTTTAATCGGTATGCTTATCACTAGAACCAAAGAAAACTTAACCTCTCAACAAATGCCATTGTTTGATAAAGTCTATTTTGTTGTGAATAGAATATTTTATTAATTATGTACAAATATACAGGTGCTTGTCACAAACTGTTCTTATTTAATGAATGAATTATCGTATTTGCGCAATTGTCATTACTGATAGATTTGCTGATGATTCAATTTGGCGACGTCTACACAGGCGAAGCAGTCCTTGACGCATCTTTCCATTTAATAACGTATAGATTGCCCATTTTGAAAGGTTCAAATTAGTCGTGAACTTCATGAGAAACTCGAACCAGACTGATGGCCTGCAAGGAAAATGCGTCATTTCAAATATGTCCAACTCAATAAATAAAGGGATTTTCTTCATAACATATAGGATTGAGGATGAAAATATAGTTGGGACGCTCTGCGTTTCTGACACAGGCGTTATAGGGGGAAAGGAACGGGTTCCAGCCTGACAGGCCCCTAATGGTGCTTGAGAACGATAGTTAGCCTGAAATGTGTATTTGTGTGTTTCCCAAATAAGGAAAGATCACCGGGGTTAGTGACATACTGACAACAACCACATACGTTACTTTCCCGCAGAGCTGTTTTATGTTCGCATTAAGGCCTCCTTGATGGCGTCCACGAAAGGCTGAGGATGATTACTGGGAGAGAGATGCCAGTAGGATGGTTTTCATGAGAAAGAAATATGAACCAGAAATGCAAGCTAGAACTATAAATAGGCTGCTACAGTATCTTCGGACGGTTGTGGCTGCCATTAAAAGAAACAACTTTGGCTATCACGACCAAATGTACCACTGAGAGATTGTCATCTTTCAGTTTCCCTAATGGTAAGTGACAATCCAATTCATTCATAAAAGCACCGTCAATCTGTTAACGTGGCATAGTATTGGGCTTCGTCGTTTTAAATATTAATGTGCTGTAAATTGAAAACGAAAAGAAAACCTAGTAGTACTAACTGATATGGAAGATTAAAGACGATGGTCATGCTGAGAAAGCAGGCGCTCAGAAATAAGAAGTTGATTGCTAGTCGATTTTCATAAGTGTTCCGTTTCTGAACTCTCTGGAAGAGGTGGTTTATCCTTCACTTTTCTTGTAAAATAAGATACTATAAGTATCATTTGTTTAGAGAAACAGCCATGTCTCAAATTGATCTCCAGAACTGCATAGAATTCTAAAAAAGTTTCGAGCCCTTACTGAGAACTGCAGGTGCCAACCCCCATCTACCTTTCTTCTATGACTCGCAATTCTACCTCAGCCAATCTCCTTTCCGGGTAACTGATAGCTTATGGAATGATTTTAGGATTCTATGGTGAGCGAACATGATGACAGACAACAGTCGGGTGCATGGCTTATTCCGCAAACAAAAGGTGACGGTAAAGTCACTTTAAGGCATCAAGCAGTACATACAATCGTAGCTGTGGAAGACGTAAAAGCCTTCCTCTTCGTCGCAACTCTTCGGATCATACAAATTCTCCAAATAATGATAGTATCGACACATGCTACTACAGCAGCACAAATAACCTGAAATTCAGTAAAGTATTGAAACGGAGCAATGCCGAGATGATGGAACTCTTTTACTTCTTTTATTTGGCCGCTCAGATGAGAAAAGCATGAACTCATGGGTCGTCTCAACCTGATGATCTATTACTCGAAAAGGTTTTATACTCACCTGTAGAACGAGATTGACACTCCAGTACATGAAAGTGTATGGTTTGCTCATGTCAAAGTACCAGAAATGACCTTGAACTAGGTAGGTATAACCACAGTATGGAGTGAACAGAGGTACTGAAATGCAGGTTGGATGTATTCAGAAATTTCCACTCATAGAAATTTCAGGAGAAATGCACACCTGTGAATAAAATACCAATGAGGACGATGCCAAGATTAATCATTTGCATATGCCGTGGTAAAAGTGTACGAAATTTAGCTGGAGAAAAGACCGCTATAAAGTGAAGGACAGACAAAACCAGCAAAGCAAATAGCTGGGTGAACCATTGACAACATAGTATCAGAATCGAGAGGTAGGCTTGCTCAGCAGCTGAAAAGCGGGGAAAATAAGTATCATTACGGTTTTCTCAAGAGCCATCATAAATCTACATATTTGTGGCTTACTGGGATTACCAGGAGAGTTACTAGTCTCTGGGAGCATGCCCCAGATCCATTACCATTGAAGGCACAGCTAACGATGATTTATAGGTACCCTTTTCAACTTGAAAAGCCAGAGGTTGTTGAAAAATAGTGCATCGGTAGCTAGAAAGGTGAGAAAATAAGCCGAATTCGAGAAGAACAGGGCTTCCGAAATCGCGATAACAACGCCCTCAAATCTCGTCCGCCTCTGGGCGTAGCATACGACCGATACAATAATTAGTATCTTATAGTGTTGTAACTAGAACGTTTTTTGAGTTTGGATGAATGATAAAGACTTGAGACATTCCGAGGGATGCGCCCACGCATTCGACTACCATTCAGTATCGTAGTTGCGTAATGAGTGCGTATATGACTTACTGTGGCTAACCGATGTACAAGTCAGTGCTTTTATCCTCCCAGACATGTTTGGTGCCAGTTACACGCTTCCGTAGGGAGGAAGACCCGGTTAGCCTATGATTCAAACCCGTGACCATGCTTGCATGAAGTGCGCCATTCGCCACTTTACCGCCTCCGCCCTTCTTACAGTTCCAAAAATGCAAGACGGGGAGAAGGTGGCACATCCTTCCCACGAAGAAATTTTGTAAACAATTTTCAATTTTCATCATTAACGCGCCATTAATAGGCAAAGTGACAATAAACGCATTACCTCCTCGCAATGCTTACTTCCGCCGTCCCTGGTATTGTTATTTACTTAGGTTATCGAGGGGTCAATGCAGCTGCATGTCTTGTGAACGGAAACTGACATCATCAAGTATTAATGCTGGCAACTCTTCGAAATGCTTCATATTCCTCTGAACTTTGGAATGAGCCCCGTGACGTCGTGAAGGTTCTCGTTTCTGTTCTGATTTTTGCCGCATCACATTGTTGCTGCTTGAATTGTGCCATTGAAGCATGTTTATTTTAAGACCCCTATTAATCTCTGTCCTACTAAGTCCAGATATTTTCCACTACCTTGACGGAATGACCAGAAATCTCTCATTAGGCATAGGGCATATTGGATGCTACAAAGAAGTTTTTCTGTTCTAACGGTGATTCCCAAGAAGTTCAAATGAGAATTTGCATAATTCCTTCCCAAAAAAGGGCATATAACAGATTGGCATCATTTCCTTCCGCAAATGGGATGCATTAGAAGACTGTGACGCATAACTAGCAGATACTGTAATGACATCCTCTCAGAGCTATCTATTCAAGCATTGAATTTCCGAATCGCTCTGAGCAAACAACAGACCTGTTACTCAAATCCTCAATTACTGTTCAGGATGGATTACTCACTACCTATGCCTTCAATTAAACTAGATGTTCTTGAATGGCATCTGTCGTAAAAGCTACCCCTTACTTCTGGGATAATTCAGGTGGCTGGCTGTGGAGGGAAGTCAACATGACTAGGGGAAACTCTCCCAATTGTAAATAGACATCTGATTGTTACGAAACTAGTTTCGTTTCAAGCTCACTTTTGAAAATATCCGTATCCAAGAAAAAACTTGGTACATCGTGCAGGACAGTGTTCAAATACACAGCAATATCCATTCCCATACACAGAAAAATAGTCCATAGAATGAGTTGTCGAGCAATTTCGCCAGTTTTAATGGCAACAATGAAAATGGCTATATCCATAGAAATTATTACTGTGTAAACCACAACATTGGCTACGTACACAACCACCTGGATATCCATAGCCTGAATTGAATTCTGTCAAATATCTAAGCGGAGAAAGTCGGAGAAAACAAACGAAGAAGTTGCGGGAAGGTGTCGAAAATACGGTAGCGCGAATCTCTAGAACTTACTGGAGCATCGACAAAAAGTTAAGAGAAGCTTCTCAGATGGAGGAGACTTTGGAAGGGACACGTATGTATTATATCAGATGTTGATGTCGAATGTGGAATAGCATACATTTTTTTTTATAAATTATTCAGCTGCTGTTAGGTACCGAGTTTTTCTCGGTACGTTGAGGTTAGTTTCAGCCATAATGAGCGGATTTTGATACTTTCGCCATGACCTCGAGCTACAAAGTAAGCTCAATAAATTCTGCAGTTATCGGAAACGACAGCGGTGCACTTTACAGGAATCGTGTTACTATTTCATACCAAAATTTGGGAATATGCAGCCAGTGCGACCTAGGATTCCCTTAGCACATAACCGAAGCATTGGTTTCACATACAGTAGCGCTCAAAAGTATTCGGCCAACTTTAACTTGCCGTAACTTTTTTCTCAGTGAAGCAAATCACAAGAAATTTTGATATGATTAGCTTAAGCATGTTTTACACTGTCCAACACTATTTGACTGCAAACCAGCCATATCCACATACTAATGGGGGGGGGGGGGGG